ATATTTGGTTGTTATTTTTTGAATTAGAAAGGCTTTTTAGCAGATTATCTAATTAAATTAGGATCAAAAGGTTTCTTAGGTGTTGATGGTCTGATAAGTCTTGAATTCATAAATCGTTAAAAAAATATTTAAAATAAAAATGGAAAGTGTGAATTTTGCAGGAGATAATCCTCAACCTCGCTTTGGTCATACTATTTGTGTCATAGCTCCTAATAAGATAGCATTATTTGGAGGTATATCTTGAATAAAGATTTAAAAGGTGCTGTTGGTGATACTGGAAGGTATGTAATAACAGGAGATGTGTATATTGGAGATATAATTTAAAAAAAATGGAAGCGAGTTGAAGCTAGTGGAAATGTACCTACTAATAGAGCAGCACATCAAGCTTTGGCTATTGAATTAAATCAAATGATTATATTTGGAGGAGCAGTAGGAGGTGGTGGTTTAGCAGATGATAATTTATATGTATTTGAATTAAGAGACGATACAGGAACATGGGTTACAGTTCCTGTAATTGGAACAACACCAGGAAGGAGATATGGTCATACTATGGTGCTTATAAAACCATATTTGATAGTTTTTGGTGGGAATACAGGACAAGAGCCTGTAAATGATGTTTGGAGTTTTAATTTAGAGAAATCACCTTATTCATGGCAAAAATTAGAATGCTCTTCTGAATAACCTATTGTTAGAGTATATCATTCTGCTGCATTGTGTTCAACAGGCTCAGCCAATGGTATGATGGTTGCTTTTGGAGGTCGTACAAGTGATCAAAGTGCTTTAAATGATACTTGGGGTTTAAGAAGACATCGTGATGGTAGATGGGATTGGGTGAGAGCTCCTTATAGATCATAAACTGATTAACCAGCTTAACGATATCAACATTCAACTTTATTTTTAGGAACATTAATGTTAGTGATAGGAGGGAGATCTAATAATGTAGGAGAGACTTTGCCATTTGAAATATATGATACTGAAACATCTGATTGGTATAAATTTTAACCAATTCAGAGATTCAGACATTCTTCATGGTTGGTGGAATAATTTTTATATCTTCATGGAGGATTTGATTCAGATCAACCTAATATTCCAACTGAGGGAATCTTAAGAATTGATTTAAATAAGAGATTTGCTTAAACTCCTCAATTATTAAAGTAAATGAATACTATAAAAGCTGATTAATCATTTTCGTAATCTTTTAATCCTAAACCTTCTCTTCCTTTAGCATAAACTTAAGATTAATTTAAAAAAACAAATTAATCAGCATCTGCTCAATAAAAAAGTAATTCTTAAATTAAAATTAGATTAAAATTCACATCAGTAAATTAGAGTGTCAAGTGCAACTAATAAAAATATTAGATTGGCTAATTAAGCATTAGTTGCTATGACTTATGGTCCAGAAGAAGATATAACTAATTAAGTTAAGAAAGTACCAATAGATAAATTACAAGATGAACATAAAAAATTAGGACCAGGATTTTAGGATCCAAATTCTTAAAATAAATCATAAGTTTTAGATTAATTATGTTAACCATTTATGTAGAATCTATTAATACCCAAAGATTATTCATAGATTCCTCCTAATTCTAATTTATTAACAGGTCTTAAAAAAGAAATGATAATTAAATTATGTGATGAAGTTTAAAGAATTTTAGAAAAAGAACCTAACTTATTGAGATTGAGAAGACCAATAAAAATTTATGGAAATTTAAATGGTTAATATCTTGATTTAATGAGATTTTTTGATCATTTTAAAGCTCCATATGATAATTTATATAATGGAGACATAGATTCTTAAGATTATTTATTTTTGGGAGATTATGTTGATAGAGGTTCAAGATCTTTGGAAATCATTTTACTTTTGTTTACATTAAAAATTAAATATTCTGATTAAATTCATTTACTAAGAGGACATCATGAGGATCCTAAAGTAAATAAAATTTTTGGTTTTGCTGATGAATGTTATATAAAATTTGCAGAAGATATTATGGATCCAAATAGCATTTATTAAAGAATAAATAGAGTGTTTTAATATTTACCATTAGCAGCAGTTATTGAAGATAAAATATTTTGTGTACATGGTGGTATTGGTTAAACAATGAGAACAATTGATGAGATTGAATTGATATAAAAACCATTAGAAATAGTTCATGATCCTAAGACTGTAATTTATAATATTTATATAAGTATTAATAAAAAATAGCTTTGGAACTTTTATGGTCTGATCCATGTTTACAAGAAGAAGAATTAGATAATGTACCAAATCCAGATAGAGATATATTTTAAAATAAATAGATTTTTAGATTTGGAACAAATAGAATTAATAAATTTTTATAAGAGAATTCTCTAAATATGATTATAAGATCACATGAACCAACAATGGAAGGATTTGAAAGATAAAATAATAATGTAATAACTATTTTCTCATGTCCAGATTATGGAGGCAATTAACCTTAATGTAAAGGATGTATGATATTATTTATATTTTTTTTTAAGCAATTTTAACTATTTCAAAAAGAGGTGAAATTATACCTAAAGTAATATTACCTGCTGCACCGATTTAAGAATAAAGATGGATGGATTTGGAAGAGCCAATTTAAAGAAAAAAAGGATTTGCTAAGTACTTAATTATAGACAACGAAGAAGCTTAGTTGAGAAAACGACCATCTACTCCAACTAGATAAAAAAGACCATCCTCATAAAAATAATTCAAATGATTTAAATTAATAATTTTGATATCTTCATATTAATCCATAAATTTATAATCTTATTATTTTTATTTATTTTTTATTATAAACTTAGTGGATATAAAAATTAACTAAAAATAAACTAAAATTCAAAATAGAAATATTTTTATATTAGGTTTGATTAATAATATTCAATTGTAAAAGAAATCTTTATATGACCTCAGCTATTCATCCTCTTAAGCTAAGGATAAAAATTTAACTTTAGTTGGTTTATTCTCTGGAATCAATTACTATTTAATTTCTTTCATTTTTTCCTCTATATTAATATATAAAATTATTACATTTTCTTCTTTCAAAATCTTCCTCAAATTTTCTTAGAGAATCTTCAGAAGCTTCATATACAACTTTAGCAGAATGAGATTGACCTGTAAGTTGAATTAATTGCACTTATTCCATAATTTCTTTTTAATTAGATTCATTTTTATTAATTTAATCTTCTTATTTCTTTTTCTGCACTTTCTATGTATAAGTATCTTATGAAAAACTCTACATATAGCCATCAAGCTTTTATGTAAACTTCTTTTCCTTTTATTTCACTTCAATAATTTCTTCAATTTTTGGAATGTCATCTATTAAAGGACTTTAGTATCCAATAGGTTTAGATACTTCTAGAATTTCCTATTGTTTATTGTCAACCTTAATGTCATGCAATTCTTAATCTTAGGATAATTACTTTTCGAGTTCAATTTAGGGAAGTACAACTTCTAATTCTTTTTCTTTAGCTGTCTCAACTGATTATAATGCTTTTTTTAATGATCTCACATGAGATTCTTTTTATTATAATTTCATATCAATTTCTTCATTATTTAAATTTTAAGTATTCACATTCTTAAAATTATCATTTTTCTTAATATTTTGATCATCATCAATTTATTTATTTTTTTTTTAAACTTCATCTTTCTATTTTTTAATAACTTGCTTTTATTTTTATTCTTTTTAATTACTTGAAGTCTTTTTAATTAATTCTTTAATTGTTTATTATTAGATTTATGGTTTCTTTTTTAAAGCATCTTGAAGTAAAGTTAATTATAATTCAAAATCAACAGAGGATTTTTATTATTTGTCTTATTTATTCCAGAAATATTCATCATCATCTTCTTCCTCACTAAAATCATCTGAAATTGATTATTCTTCAACAATATTATCATTAAGTTCTTATTAACATTCCTCTAAATCTTCTATAATTTATGGTTCTAACTCTTCTGAAACATCGGTAAATTACTCATCCTCATTTTCTTTCTCTTTTCTATTTTAATTTTGATCAAAAAATGTTTTCTATATTTATTAATATATTTATTACTAAATCAGTTAATGATTCTTCAATTTTCTATTTTGATTGTCCACTATTTTATTAAACCTCAATAAATAATATTTTAAAAATACTTGGTCTAAATGATAATGATCTTATTTATCCTTGACTACTTATTCTTCCACTAAATTTTGGAGTATCTGCATTATCATCAAATTAAAGATTGCTTCCAACAATCAAACACATTCCTATGGCTGTTTATTAAATATCATTTGTATTAATTGATAAATTAGCTTGTATATTACTATGCTGATTTATTGAAATATTAACAAATCCATTATGATGATAACCAACAAGGAAGGCTATAGCGTTGACTTGAGATTAAAATTAAGGATATTTAAATATGGCTTGTTGGGTTGCTCTGAAATTTGAACAGTTAATATAAACTTCATTGTCTGTAGTTGCTAAATATCTATAAGTTGCATTCAAAGTGACAGCACTAAAAAATTGTATAATGAAATCATGTTAAGTAATATTTTTAACTTTTGCAAATAGAGCTGTTGTAGATGTATGTTCTACTAAAGCTAATGCTACTTAAGGTACTTTTGCGAATGGAGTATCAAATCGAACTAGCTAGGATTTAATAAGAAAATACTTGATTATAAATTTATGATCCATTTGCTTCTTCAAATTAAATAACTCCTATTTCTAACTCACTTGTTGCATTTACATTTAAAGAATTACAAATGAAAATGAGTGTTATTATGATGAATGTTTTCATATAATTAAAATAAAAACGAATTTATTAAATATAATATATTTAATTAATTATATTTCAATTCAACGAACATCTTTGACTGAACTCTCTCTTTTCCATACCATCTAACAAAAATAATATTTATCAATACTTTAAATATATGATTTTGGAAATTCCAAAAACATTAAATAAAGTTTTGTATCTATTTTAATATATAAAATAAAATTACTATTTATTCTTAAGTTTAATGAAAATCAGCCGACTATTTATTCTTCTTAAACTCTTATAGATTTGTTACTGTACAATTGAAGAATTATCTTAACAAAACCCCACTATAACAAAATATACTGATCTCTTATCTAATAAGTATTATGGAATGGTAAGCTTCTATTCACCATTATCATCAATGACCAATTTTATTAGTGACATAGTTCAATTAGTAGATAAGTCATTTCTATTTTCTGCTAATTTTAATAACTAGTTTTCCATTATTGCATATTGCAAACACAATCTCTAAACTAAAGAAATAACTCATACATTAATATTAGTTTAATAACAATAAATATAAGAATAATAATTTGTTGTTTCATTTGACCCATTATTATATGAAGGCTAACTTATTTGTACATCTTTTTACTATGATGCTGAACTATAAAATCTTCAATTTATAATTTAAACTAAAAATGATATGTAATAAAAAAATTTCAATCAAATTAATTTAGAATTAACAAATGTTAAGTTTGTATTTGGTGGAGTAAATTAAAATTTAGAGTTTAGTAGTTTTTAAGGGTAGTTATATCCTATGTTAGCGGATAATTAAGTAAATATTTATTTTTATTTGAATTATCTAATTGCTCTTAATTAATGTTCTTAATTTGAAGAGACATTTATATTTGATTAAAAAGAATATAATCAAGAAAATAATTGGCAACTTACATTACCATTCATTGTTTTTAAGGATTATTCTATATACTTTTGGCATAGATTTACAACACCTATAGAATTTTTAGATCTAGTATCCTTAATACATATAAACACTTAAATTGAGTTTAATCTAAATTATTCTTTAGGAACTAATACTCTCATGATTAATTACTAATTATAATAAAATAAATAGATTTTGATATCTGTTAAATATTATTCATATGAATTTCCATATATATAATATAATACAGATTATATTAGATCATTAATTAAAGAATATTAAATTGAAGAAATAGATTCATATCTAATTTATTAATGGCATTTTACAACTATTCAATATTAATATAATAGCTTATTTATTTAAATATATTATCCAGATTAATAGAAAAATGTTAATTTTAAGGATGATACTGTAAAACAATTTTCTTATTCCTAATTTTCTTTAATATTTGGAGAGAATTTAAATTAAAAATAATATAATGGACAAATAAATTAGTTTAAATTTAAAAATTGTTAGGAAGAATTCATAGATACTTATCAATGTCATTTTTCATGTAATACTTGTAATGGACCTTTGAAAAACAGTTGTTTAACTTGTCCTGAGAATTCGTATCGAAATTATAATCCTGAGAGTCATACTTGCACATGTTAAATTTGGACTTTAGAATAAAATTAAACAAAATGTTTCTCTATTTCTCATATTGATTAAATGACAATAAAATACATTGAAAAATCTAATAAAAAAAATTATGATTAAATTGAACCTTATATAGTATGTTCATATGGATATTTCTTATATGAAGATGATTGCTATTAATGGTAAATTTATTAATTATATAGAATAGTCCTTTAGCTTCTCAAAAAGGAGATTTAATATGTCTTGAATGTTTAGATAATTGGTAAAATTGGATTCAAAATCCTATATGTAAGGAATATGTGCTTAACAAAATCATTTATGATCATGAAAAATAGGAATATAACTATGTAGTTGATTATTTAAATATTCCTTCTTTGTATCTCTTTGTTGATCATGAATTAAAATTGTGTAATTATTGTACTTAATTTTGTATGCATTCTTCTCTAACATATTAATGTAAATAAATAAAAGAAAAACATTTAGGTAAGGATACTTATGTAGAATGTTTATATTTTTATAATAGTTAGACCTTATCTTGTTTACCTCCTAATTAGATTTTAAATGACGGTCGTTGTTCAGGATAGGGTTGTAATAGTTAATGTAAATGTTGTGGTATTGATAATCATTGTATTGAATGTATTAATGAAAATGATCTTTTACTTTTGAATAAAAAAGATTGTGTTTAATGTACAATTCCTAATTGTAAAATGTGTTTTCAATATCTTAAATAATCAGATGGAATATTGATTTCAACCCTCACCTATACTAATTATTATGAAATCATTACTAATGAGGATTATATAATAGGATGTGCTTTATGTGAGGACAATTACATTTACAATTTCATATTAAATATTTGTTAATTAAAATTACAAATTTCTGAATTTTGTGATAATTATCTTATTGATCAATTTAATTAACCAATTTGTTTGACTACATAAACATAAAATTTTAATGAAGGAATCGAAATTTCAAATTGCTCTAAATTTTTAAAATCCTGTTTAAATTGCGTTAAATCAAATATAAATAAACTATTTTGTACAACTTGTTAATAAGGCTTTTTTTAAAATTCTTTAGGATATTGTTAATCTTGTGATGAGAAATTCATAGAATGTAAATTAAGTTACCCTAATTAATATGAAATTACTATGAAATAATTATAACCATTTCTATTAGCTATTTCTAAAGGATAAAAACTTTTTTATCCTCCTTTATATGCTTATTAAGTTTAAATTGGTATTTGTTAACAAAGTGACTAATGGTCTTAAAATTGCAATAAAGCTAGGAATGTTAATTATTGCAAAAAATATTATACTAATGTTTGTATAGAATGTATCTCAGATGATACTTAAATCATTACTTTATATGTAGGAATATGCTATTTATGTTCTTATCAATGCAAAATATGTCTACCATCTTTGTTAAATAAATCAGAAATAAAATGTTTTCACACTGATTCTTAAACTAATTATATTGATTAACTTTCAAGTAGGGTAAAAATAAAAAGAGAAAATGATTCTAAATATTTATCTGAATTAACTGTTGAAAATTTAAGTTGGATTGATGAATATTAAGATGTCTTTAATTAGTAATTGTTTTAAAGAATGAATTTTATATATCTTTTGAATAATACTTTTGGACAATATTTTTACAAAAGATTAACATAAAATATTTCACAATATTATGAAAATCTTATTATTTAATAAATAACAGTATACTAGGATGGTATATTACAAGAATAAATTAGATCTTTAGTCATTGTAGATTATTAAATCATTAATTTAAATAATCTTAGTATTTCAATTTAAAATTTAAATAAAGATGAAATAATTAATACATCTTCAAAATATGGATAGGATATATATATTAATAATCTTATACTTAATTAAATTAATTATGTAAATCTCTAAAAATAAATATTCCTTTTTAATAATATTACTAGTCTATTCATCAATAATCTGACTATTATCAATATTGATTTATAAAACTTCCATTTATTTAAACTTTCTATTTTTAGTTAATCTACAAGAATTAATATCACTTTAGTAAATATTAAACTATTAAATTGTAAATTAATAAATTCTAGTATTTTTTCAATGACATAAATATTAGATATATTTGATTAGAATACAATTGTTTTAATACATATTCAATTTTAAAATTGCATATTTTTTAATTCTTATTTTTTTTTATTTTAGGACAACTTATTGTGTTTTAATTTATAATCTTTATTAATTGATAATCTTATTATTTAGCAAAGCAACTTTACTTCAAGTTAAATATTTTCTAATTATACAGCAACATAAACTAAATTATCTTTTATAACTTTTATGAAAAATTAAATTAATAATTCAAATTTTTTTGTAGCAGATCTTATATTTGAAGTTTACTCTACTAAAATTGAATATACATCTATCAGAAATAGTTAATTTATATATTTTAAATAATAACTTTCAGCTGCTTATCAAAAAGAATTACTTATAATCAATAAAATATTTATATCGTAATTATAAACAGATTCATCTTTACTGAGCATATCATAAAATATTATTAGATATATTGAATTTTAGAATATAGAAGTTAGAGATTTAATATAAATAAAAAATGATCAACAAAAATCATCTGATCTATTTTTATTATAAGCAAATATACTAATAATTAATAATTACTTTAGTTATAATTATAATTCTAATCAAATTTAAATTGCTATTCTAAATTCTAATATAATAAAATTATCCAATATTTTCATAGAAGAATAGTAAAATGATATCAGAATAAATCATGAAATAGAATTTTTTAATTGTCCATTACAATAGCAATTTTTAAATGTTTATAATTTCACTTCATTTATGATAGATAACTTCTAAATCTAAAATATCATGATTTGCAATAATAACTTTATTAAAATAGAAGATATTCAAAATTATGTTACTCTAAAATTACAAAATGTTAATTTTAATGATATTTTACTCTTATAAATTTAGGGTACTTCTTAAACATCTATTATTGCTATTTCTATATCAAAATAATCAATTATATAATTTAAATCATTTACTATTACAAATGTATTTGGAAATAATTATGAAAGATTAAGAAAAGTATCTGAATAATTAACAATAGTTTCTATTGTTGCTCCTTAAAGCAATTTAGAAATATTAAATAGTTATTTTAAAAGTAATATTATCACTAATACTACTAATGCTTTAATCTATTTAGAATCCAAATCAATTTCAATTGATAATTTTACTAATATGGAGTCAAATTATTTTACAGAATTAATATACACTCACTTAAACTAAGAATACACTAAGATATCTATTAAATCTCTCTAATAATTATTTCCAATTAAATCAGAGGGAAGTATTTTAAATATTCTATGTTAATATTTAAATTTAAATAATCTTAATAATGAAAATTCTGTTGCTTTGTTGGGGGGATTTTGTAAGATTGAATTGATTTTAGATTGTGAATTATCAGTGTTAAATAGTAATATACGTAATAGTAAATCGATTTAGGCATAAGAAAGCAAAGGGGGATCCTTTTATATAAATGCTAAAGATACAAATTTAATAATGAAATTAATAAATATAACTATCTCAAATTCATATTCCCTATATGATGGTGGATTTATATATTTAATTCCATCTGATAGTTCAAATTTCTTGATTCTAGAAAATATAAAAGCCAAAAGTGTTTTTTCAATATTTAGAGGTTTTATGAGTGCTGAATTTTCTTTATAAACAAGTGAGAATTTTGTGGTTCTAAAGAATATTGATATTCAATTAGATTACACCTAGATTGAGGATATAACAAGTAATTATGATGTATTAAAAAATAATGAACTAGATTATATTAAAATAAAAAATGGTTATTTTTATTTCAATTACTGGTATATTTATATAAATTAAATTTAGCCAATTATAAGTAAACAACATCAACCTATAATTCTAAATTATTACATAACCTATTTTCTAACTAACAAATATGCAAAATCTACATATATTGAATTTCTATTTAGAAGTTGGTGAATAAACAAGTAACACAATAATAGAATTTGAATCAATTAAGAGTAAGAAAATAAATAATTATTTAGATTCTTAAGACAAAGATTTAATTATTTAATAATTCTAGGCTAGACAAACTAAAGTTATAATTCCTGAAGCCTTTTACGCTCAATCATGTAAGTCTATTTATTAATATGAAATTATCCATATATAATATCTAAGTGAAAAATCATTTATTTTGAAAAATAATAATTGCTTGATAAATTAATTATCAAAAGTGTATTAAAATGTTGAAAGCATAATTTAGATAAGACTTTTAGATAATTTTAAGAATTTTTAATTTTCTAATGGTTTTGTACTTAATTTTCATAAAAATTCTTATTCAATAGCTTTAATTGATATTTATTAATAAACTTAAGTTAAATCAAAATTTGAGTTATTATATCTATTAAATAATAAATGTACTCTATCTACTTGTTTAAGAATTAGTACTAATGACTAGTATAAATTGGATGTAGTAATTTTAAAATAAATATACATGTTAAATAATGATAATTCAAAATATGGTTAACTAAGTCTTTAAAATATAAGTTATTTAATTAAATAATCATATTTTATGAATAATAAGGCAATAGAAATGGCAGGGGCAGTTTATATACAAAATAGTCCTCTCAAAATTAAAAAATCTTACTTCATTAATAATAGTGCTCCATTGGTAGGTGCAATATATTGTTCAAATATCTCAATCAAGGATAGATAAGTATTAACTTCTACTTCATTCTTTTATAATAATCTAGCTATATAAGCAATTAATACTTTGGGAATTGAATTTTATTCCTTAAGTATGAGTCAACCATTAGAAAAGAATCAAATTATTACAGATTATCCATAATTATCTAAATCAAAAAATTAGAGCAATTCTGAATTATATTTTGTCTATTTACCTAGTGGTTAGACAATTAAATAATATTAAATTTTTGACACTAAAATACTCAGATATCAAAACTAAGAACTTTCACTTAAATTTATAATTTTAAATTATTTTAAAGAAAAACAAATTTTAAATAATTATTCTATATAATGCAACATTACACCTAATTATATAGATAAGGACTTCAATATTTTATAGAAGAATAACATAACTATTTTCACTGCTGAATTCAATAAAGATTAAAATGAATTAAATTTAGAAAACTATACATTTATATTGAATCCATATTCTGAAAACTTATTAAAAATCCAATTATCATGCAATAATATTGAATAAAATGATAATAATTATTATGAATTATTTGCAAAAACATATAAATGCTAGATGGGAGAGTATTTCTATGAAGATTAATGTTTAAAATGCAATGCATCTAGAGGATATTATAGTGTTAATCCATTAAATGGAGAATGCATTAAAGCAAATCCTGAATCTATAAAAAATCATACAGAAAATTTATTAAATCTTTATGAAGGATTTTGGAGATTGAATATTTTAACTCCTATTGGTGAATATTGTTCAAACAACCCATCAAATTGTTTAGGGGGATGGGAAACAGGAGATATAACATGTATGATAGGTCATGTAGGAGCTTTATGTGAGGCATGCGATATTTATAATTTGAGAGGTAAGGGTCAATACTCAAAAAGTAGAGATTATAAATGTTCTTAATGTGAAGATTATGGTTTCTTAATTGCTGAATTTCTGTTAGCTTTTATATGGGCTTTTTCATAAATAGTTTTGGCTGTAAAAAGTACTTAATTATAAAATCAAAAGTTTCTTTTGTCTAAATCTTAAACAAAATTTTATGATATTTTAGTAAGGCTATCTTAAGGTAAATTATATTTATGAAATATAGATTAATCTAGTTCTGTTATCAAACTAATAAGTAATTATTTTCAGATTATAATGGTAATCTATACATTTAAGGTTGAATTTATTTCAAATTTAGATACCTTATTTTAATTTATCGGTAATTCTACTTACTCAACTACTTATAATTTTGATTGCTATATATCCAAGATTGAGTAATTAGACATAATTTATTTGAATTTGATTTGGATCTTATAAGTTTAATTTTTGTAGTATATCCTTTATCTTTTATTATCATTCTTTATTAAATTATCAAGACCAAGATTTTTTTCTTTGGAGACAGTTTATTCATCATTCTATTACTTATATTTATCAGGACAAATTAACCTCATAAAATTGTAAATTTTGATATAATAATTTAGATTAGCTTAATTAATTACTCCAAAAACAATAAGTAATGTGTAATGGATCTCAGCAAATCTTTCTTATCGTTATTGGACAGACACTCATTAGAAGGTATTTTTTTCTCTTATTTTACCTTTATTAATTATTTTTGGATTATTTATTCCTTTATTTTTATTTATAAAACTATCTGAAAACAAATTTAATTTAAATAATTATAAGATTAAATAGAAATATGGATATTTATTTAATGAATATTCTAAAACTCATTATTATTGGGAATCTGTAAAATTAATGTACAGATAATTATTAATACTCATTATAGTATTACTACAAGATTATATTGTAATTAAGGGTATAATGTTGATTGGATTACTTTTTGCTTATTAAATTATTTTTAGTATAAGTAAACCATATAATGTTGGAAAACTTAATTAATTTGAATTATAAGCAATTTAAATATGTATATGGTCATTCCTTTTATGCATTTTATAATATGAAATATAAGAATTCAATTAATGGCTAAATATTATATGTTAGCTGCTCATTTTAATGTCACTAATAATATTAATAGTTAAATCTATCTAAAAGTTCATTCAAGTTTTTAGTTCAAAATATGAATAAGTAATTGACTACATTAAGAATGCGATAGTAAGATGCCTAAATTTATAATAACTATAAAATTCAAAATTATTTGAATTGAGTAGCAAAAGAAAAGCAAGAGTATAAAAATATTTTAAAGTAATTAAACTACATGTTTTTAAAAGAGTTCACACAAATATAAATATATAATAAACCTAAAATGTTGAAATTATGTTATGTTCAAGTTTATCGCCTTCTTAAAAATAAATAACTCCAGGAAGAAGATTTTTATGATTTATCAATATAAGAGTTATTATTTATTTGATAATTTTTATTTTTTCTTAGCAATTCTTTTAAATTAAAAAAAAAATAATTTTATTGGTATCTACAGTTGTAAATTAGTTAATCTTGATTATTCATTTAAATTTTGATAAATATAGAAAGCATGATTACTATGTAAAATGCAACCCAGGATTTTGTTTACTGATTATTGAAAATTATTAATAACTATAAATTTTTGTTTATATATTATATTTATTGCATAAATTGATTATATATAATTGAATAATTTATAAATATTTTTCTTTTAAAATGTGAAATATTATTTTAAAATTTAGCTAATTTCTTTTCTGTTAAATATAACTTTTCTTTTAATTTCTATATTAGATATATAAAATGACTGAAATTTAAATCTCTTTTAGATGATAATTGGATCTATAAAATTACGTATATTTATTTTACAATAAATTGAATTTATAAATTTATATAATTATAATAAATGGGAGCTTAATGCTGCACTTTACCAGCTAAATTAACTGTTTATGAAATAGATATAGACAGTCAAAGATTAAGAGGAAGTGTACATACATAAACTAAAAGATCTGTAATTAAGAAAGATTAAAAAAGTGATGAAGAAATAATTAATTGTCAAAAAGAAAACTATGAGGATTTTTAAGTTCTTGGTTCTGGATCTTTAGATTTAAAATAGAATTAAGATTAAATACAATATTAAAATAGATTGTTACAGAAATAAGAAAGCCAGATAGAATCAAGTATGACAGTATTATAGATTTATCGAAATAGCAATCCCAAGAAGTAAATTTCAGAGAAAAATAACAAATTCATCAGTTGGTTCTGTAAAATTGGGAGCAGAAGTGTTCATTAATCTTAAATCTGGTAGCATCCATAAATATTATGAAACAGGAGAAATCTTAGGATAAGGAGCCTACGGAAAGGTTTGGAAAGTAACACATAAAAATACTGGTAAAATTATAATTCATTAATTTCAGGTATGATAAGAGCGATGAAAGAACTGAAAAAAAAATCAATTATTATTGAAGAATAATAAAGATTATTTGCAGAAATGAATATTTTAAAAAACTTGGATCATCCCCATATAGTGAAACTATATGAGTTATATTAAGATTAAAATAACTATTATCTAATAACAGAATATTTATCAGGAGGGGAATTATTTGATAGAATAAAAGAATTTAATTATTTTAGTGAAAGGAAAGCAGCTGAATTGATGAGACAAATCTTATCAGCCGTTGTCTATTGTCATCAAAGAAGTATTGTTCATAGAGATCTTAAACCAGAGAATGTGCTATTTGTTAATGATTCCTAATTATCTCCAATTAAGATTATTGATTTTGGAACTTCTAGAAAATATGATCAAAACTAAAAAATGACTAAGAAATTAGGAACAGTACATATAATTATTAATTACTTAGGCATATTATATAGCACCTGAAGTTTTAAAGTAAGAATATAATGAAAAATGTGATGTTTGGTCTTGTGGGATAATCTTATACATACTGTTATGCGGATATCCTCCATTTACGGGTAAAAATGAAGAAGAAATTATGCAAAAAGTATGTGAAGGAGAATTAATTTTTGAGTGTAAGATTTGATTTTCGAAATTAGATTAGAAGAGGATTGGGAAATGATATCCACAGAAGTTAAAGATCTAATAAGAAATATGTTACAAGTAGATCCTAGCAAGAGATATTCTGCTTAGTAAGCCTTATCGGATCCATGGATTAAAAAGAATTAATCTAGTACTAAAATGAATAAAACAGCATTACAAAATTTGTAGAAGTTCTAAGTATCTAATAAATCAAATTTAGGCTTAATCTGTATTTACTTAAGCTGTACTTTCATTTATAGCTTGTTAAATGACTTCTTAATAGGAATAAGATGAATTAGCCAAATCTTTTTAATTTTTAGATAAAAATGGAGATGGAATTTTATCAAGAGAGGAACTGATAGAAGGATATCATTCTGTCTTTAAAAATAGATAATAGGCTAATTTAGAAGTTGATAAAATTTTATCAATAGTAGATATAAATCAAAGTGGTTAAGTAGATTTTTCTGGTAAATTACTTATCTTATTATTTTCAGAATTTTTGATGGCAGCTATGAATTAAGAAAAATTAGTTTCTTTGGAAAAAGTCAAAGCTGCCTTCAAAATTTTTGATGCAAATGAGGATGGGAAGATATCAAAAAATGAACTTGAAATGATGATTGGAACAATAGAAGATGATATTTGGTAATAAATATTGATAGAATGTGGAGCATAAGGAGAAATTACAGAAAAGCAATTTATAAATATTCTGCTGCATTAACGACATTGAATTTTACTTTACTTAATTTGTCCATTTATAATAATAAAAATTTATCATTTGTATAAAAGCATTTCAAAAATAATCAAATATTTCTACATTGTAAGCCTTTTTTTTGAATATCAACAACATAAGAAAATTGTTAAGAATATATATTAAATCAAATTATCTTTCTATTTAATTTATTCATGATCTAAATCTATCAGTTGTTATTTGCGTTATTCTTTTCAATAACCCTTCTATTATTACACTTCTCTATTAATAAAATATTTTCAAAAAACATCATAATTCTAACTATTTTGGACAAAACATGAATTTCTCAAATTCTACTTTGTTAAACATTTTTTCTACCTCTTTAATTATTCTAATACAAAAAAAACTATAATAATTAATAATTCATTTAAATTAAATTCAAGAAAAAAATTAAAATGAAATTTTAAATAACATCAATATCAGAATTAATTTGTTTTGCCAAAGGAATTAATTCTTAAATAGTTTTAGGAAATTATTTGGAATACATAGTTTAAATTCATATGAATAATATTCTGATTAAATCTTTTATTGTAGATTTATTGATGCTTTGCTGGATTACCAAAATTTACATCTAATAAGTTCTTTAATGAAAGATGTTTCTATAAATCTAAAATCAAGGTTTGAAATATTTAAATATTTCTTGATATTAATAATATCATTGATTAATAAAATATTTTGAAACACTTGAATTGTAAATTAAACAATTACTTATATTTTTATATTATTTTAATTTATTGATAATTTTTCTGATTATAATTTGTATGTTTATTTGTTTCATGATTAAAATTACTCGTAAGTCCTACTACCTCTTGTTTATCCAATTGAAGATGTAGTAGTAGTTCCTCCTGTTCTAGTTACAACTCTTGAAGATGACACAACAACTTCCTATGTAAATTAAAAATAAATGAATTTACCTTCTTTTATCCTTTTCTAAGTGCTTCTAATTCAGCTTGACACATAGTTAATTATTCTTAGCATTCATTATAATCATGATTAACTTTGATGAATTTCTATTTCCATACTTCCACCTCAGATGATAAGTATGTCACTTTCTCTTGGATAACAGTTTGTCCTTATGATTCCAATTATTCATATCTGAGTCTCCAATCTTCAAGATCTCCATCTTTAATTTTATTAGAGTATGCTAGTCTTTCAATTTCTGATGACAACATAGCTATTTTATTCTTTTTTAAATAGAGTATTTATATACCTCATAATCTCTTAATTTAATAAGTAAATCATTATTATCTTTCCTTAATCTACCATTTTCATCCTATAGTCTTCTGATTTGGTCTTCAAGATCTTTTATTTGACTTTCAAATCTAAGTCTGAGATTGAAAAACTCTCTTTCTTTAGAAGCTAGGTCTTCAGATTAAGAACTTCTCAATTATATTTCCCCTCTCATGGATTATAGTTGCATTTATAGTTAATCATTTTCTGATCTTAATTATCTTAATTGTGTTTCTAAGAGTTATACTTTAGAGTTGTCTACAACAACTTTTTCTTTTTCAACTACTTTTTCAACAACTTAGACTTCTTTTCTTTTTTCTAATTCAGCAATCAAAGATTAAAGGTATTCACACTCCAATCTCCAAGGAGCTTCAATTTCCTCTTTTGAAACTACAATAATATTCATGCATAGAGGTTGAGCAGCAACACAATTCTATTATACTGAATAGTTGCCTTAATATCCAATTTAAGGAATAGCAGCCATATTTGAAATATAACTTTATCCTCCAACAAAACCTTATGTTTAAGTTCTCAAGACCTGTTATGATTACATTCTCGGGATTTTTGTTGCACTTCTTTATTCCACTTCTACTGTAGTTGTCTTGAAATAACTGATAATTTTACTTAAACTTTTGGTGTTTCTCTAGAAATTACTTATTCAACTCTATCTTAAGTGATACTTCTGATATTATCCTTGGTGCCTGATGTATATTGTCTTTATGAAGATTATGTTACATATTATCTACTTTAGAAATCACTCATTTGATTCAAATTAATTTATATTTATGAAGCAATCAAATTTATACATAGGGTTTATACCACATTAATGATATTCAAAATGCTGTTGTATTATTAAAGAAAATATAAAGCAAACATGAATAGACAAATTTTTAATAAATACAAAAATTCAATATATATATTAGAATAATATTTATAAATAACATTTAAAAGATGTCCTTAGCGTTGGCAGGAGTGGTGCCTCCTTTATATGAAAGAAATTAAGAGGCTACGATTTACATTGGTAATTTAGATCAGAAAGTCACTGATGACATAGTATGGGAACTGTTCATTCAATGTGGACCTGTAGTTAATGTTCATATTCCAAAAGATAAAATTTCTGGAGAACATTAAGGTTATGGTTTTGTGGAATTTAAGAGCGAGGAAGATGCCGATTATGCCATCAAGATTATGCACATGATTAAATTATATGGAAAACCCATAAAAGTTAATAAAGCATCATAAGATAAAAGGACACAAGAAGTTGGTGCTAATCTTTTTATAGGAAATCTAGACACTGAAATAGATGAGAAAACCCTTTATGAAACATTCTCTGCATTTGGACATATTTTATCAACTAAGGTATTGAATTCTCCATTATATAATAGATTATGAGGAATCCTGAGACTGGAGTATCTAAAGGTTATGGTTTTGTCAGTTATGATAATTTTGAATCTAGTGATGGTGCTTTGACAGCAATGAATGGATAATTTTTGGGAACCAAAATTATTCGTGTTGAATATGCATTCAAAAAGGATGCTAAAGGAGAAAGGCATGGAAGTTAGGCAGAAAGATTATTAGCTGCCAATAGGCCTTTAGCATAAAAAGCACTTCTAGGATTTGTAGGATATATGCCAACAGAATTGAGAATTCCTTTACCTCCTCCTCCCTCCATTTAAATTCAACCTTTACAAGAAGGATACAAACCTTTACCTTAATAGCTTCCTGTCCCACTTCCACCTCCTCCTTCTGGAATGCCTAAATGATTTTAAGCAATCATAATATATTAGTTATTCAATTATTATTCAATTATTTATTTTTTGCTTTTCAATGACTTGGGTATATTGTTTAGATCTTTATTAGGAGTCTACCAGATAAAAGTGCAATTCTTCTATATTTTATTCATATTCAGTTAATGTTCTTCCATGCAGAATTTCAAATTTCGGTTTAGGGACTGTAGTCATTTCAGTAGATAAAGATTGCTTTGTTTATTATCCATTTTACTCCAATTATTGTAACAAATCCCCTAAGAAATTTATTCTATTTATTCTCTCTTCCTTACTTTAACTATTTTTAATTTAGTCATTACTTTCCACTTCCAATCAAATTCTATCTTTTTTATTAAGAAGTTGACTAAGCACTCTATACTATTTCGGCTGCATGATAATTCTTTAAACGAAATGAAGGACTTCTTCTAATCTAAGTTGACAGAAATAGTTGTTTGTAATTCTAGACACACTCAAATTAACTAATACCTGTGCAATTGGTTCAGCCAGATGTTAAATCTATCATTCAAAACAAATCTCATCATACTTCTAATTGTTGCAATTCCCCTTAACTAGGAGTTCTGTTAGGACTTTATTATGTTGAGCATCTATGTTAACTTGAAGAATTTTATCTCATCCCTTAAGAACTCTTAGCTCTACTAGGATCAATCACTCTTTATCTTCTTCTGGAATTATTCAAGTATGGAGTATATCGGATAGGGCAAATATTCATTTTAATTTTATTATAATATATATAGATTCAATGAAAAATTTTTAATATAAAATGGTGTAGACATTTTATTTATTGTCACTGATATCACTTAAATGCAATAAAGGAACATTTTCTTTTTAGTTTTAGTTCGTATTATTCAATATGAATATAGGTTGTAATTCTTAATTTGATTAAGGAACTATCTCCGTTAAAATTTGATCTTTTTATCAATTGACAATTTTAACAATTTTATGATCTTGAATAATTATTTCTATATTTAAATTGAATTTTAATCTAATTGTAAATTAGAATCAACCCTAAACATAACCAGTATCTAACTTTTACAATACTCATTAATATATCACATTCTATCTATCTATTAAATTAAAAATATTATACATAAGATAGAAGAAGTATTTTTTAAAATATTCTCAATTAAATCCTCCCAGAAAAGAAAAAATATAATTTATTAAAATTGGAGGTATCACCCAGAAATTAATCAAGAACTTAATTGATAATCAATATTGAATTTAATAATTAATTTTATTAAATAGAATCATAATTGAAGAATCTAATAAATATATTATAATAAATTAGAAAATTTAAAATTGTTTTTAAATAATTGTTGTGATTTACATTTATTCATATAAAATTCAAAATAGTTTATTTAATTAAGAATTCTCAACAATAGTTTAATTTAATTAATTAGATATTGAAAAGAAATGATATATCTTGTTATAGAATATTTAGACTAAAGATAATTCAAAAATATTACAAATTAAATTAATCATTATTCTCTAAAATGATGCTAAAATCTATTATATTTAGTAATAACAGTTTAAATTAAAATGATATTGATTTTACGAGATTGTGATAGATTTTGAATAGACTTGATTAGTTAATTGAATATTATTAGTTTATTGAGTTAAAACTAGTATATAATTTTTATAAATAACCTTAAATATTATTTTAATATTAATTTTAATTATTATATTATAGATAATTAAATATGAAATCTATTTTTTAAATTTTAGATTTGCAAAATCAACTTTTTAAGAAAGTGCTTGAAATTCTAAGTGTTTAATGAGTCAAATTGACTAAGCTACATCAATTATTGTGAATCAATTAACATGTCATTTGTTAGTTATATGATTTAAATTATAATGAAAAAGCCCTAATGTCAATTTTTTAAATATTTTTATGTATCATGATATTAGAAATACAATTCTATATTCTTTCAACAGATACATTTTATAATATAATGTTTAAAAAATTTGACATATGGACTGTTTAAAAGTTGATAAAACTGGTCTAAAGCAACCTAAATTGATACTAAAAACAAGTAAATCTAAAAATAAATGATTGTTGAGTAGGTCATTTGATCTCATTAAGAAAATGCAATAGCTTCAATTAATTCATAATTATTTGAATTAGTTCATATATTAATAAGATTTGTTTTTTTATATCGAAATGAAAATATATGGTATTAAATAAGAGGAACGAACAAACCCAGGTCCAATCAGCATTCCAAGATCAATTCCTTTCTGTACTATTTATAAGTATCTTCTATTAGATTAGACAAGTGAAAATTTGATATCAATTTAAAAACAATGGACTGTTATTCATAAATTCATGAGAGCCTTAAACAAGTTATAATTAGCTTAAAACAAAATACATAATTAACCAAAGTACCCTTTTGTATTACAACTCTCTATGAATGAATTTATGGTACATAGTAGTTATTATTCTTAGGTTCATTTGGGAAGTGATAAATTAGAATTAAGAATGTCTAATGAGCTTTCATTCTATCCCAATTATGGGCCTGTACAATACTGTTGTCCCCCTCCAGTCAGTTCACCTACTCCAACAATTAAACTTCCTATTCACAAGAAGCGGGAAGTGAACGTCCTTCAAGACTAGAAGGATACAAAGAATATTCCAAAGAATTATTGCAAGAGCATTATAACTTTTGCTTGTAAGAATCAAAATCTATGTTTGGAAATTCTTAAAGACTAGTTGAAAGTGATAAAATTCTTGGAAAAGATTACTGTCTTCAAAAAATAACTGCTTAACATAAGGATCTTCAGCAGCCTTTTACAACACTCTGATGACCCTGAAGAGGAGGAGTTTAGAAAGGCATTTAGAATAATAAGGTAAATTCAAATAGTATAAATATTAGTCGGATATTCATCAAGAAATATGCTATAAACTATATTTTTAACTCTAAGATAGTGTAGCATAACTGGCATATGAGATATAGATCATAAATTTATAAGGGAGTAAAAAACCCAAATAATTTTTCACATATTAAAAACTTATGAAAAAAGTTTGATTGAATCCATTTGATTATAAAATATGATTAATGAATAACTGATACATCAATTAGATGTAAAAATTTCTATAAAAATAATTTTTTCCAAATAAAACCCCGTTTCATAATTTAAATCGCATTACAGAGTTTGGAGACTAATAAAATGAACAAAAAACAATATTATCTATTACTAATTACTAGACAAACTTTATACTTATTAAAAAATTTAATAAGTAATGTGCAAGAATCTAATAAAGAAGGATAGAATAAATGTAATATCAATATATTCTAAAATCGTGTTTAAAATTTCAATAACATTTATAATTAATTTTAATAATTAATACCATATATTTATCTATAAAATTAATTAAAAAGCAAAACAAAGAGCAAAATAAAATTCAAAGCTCTCTTAAGAATAAACTTGTTTTACTGTAGAATCAGTAAATGACTATCCAATGTAGAATTGAAATTATCATACAAAATACAGATCGACATTCCCTTTAAAAGCAATAATTATCCTGTAACAATCCCTTTCATATTATCAATTCATGAAAATATATTTATTCTGCTAATTATATTTCAATAAAATACCATTCTTAACTATATTAATTCTAATGAATCAAATTCCACTTAATTTCATTTCAATTTTTATCAAAAAATGTAAACACTATTTAAATTTATTGAATATCAAGAAATCAAATATATTTCAAAAATATGCACTGATTTCATCATTTTTGCAGATAAAATGTAAATTTTTTGGAAATTAGCATTAATATTAAATATATGTGGGCATCCATATTTAATAAAGTATTAAATTGGTTTTCTCTATTAAATTCTCCAATAAAAATAATAATTCATTAATATTTGATTATATATATAAAATTGTTAACTTTTATCCAATATCGTTAATTTAGTGATAATCTATCCTAAATGGATAATTAAGTATTTGATTATATTATAAAATAAATATAAAATCAATAACGAAAGATTTTAAATTTCATATTGATTGTTAATTAATCAATGAAAATATTAATTCAGAATAACAATATCATATTCTTATGATCTATATTGTCATATTAACTCTCTTTATAATTAAACAAAAATAAAAAAAATTGCACCTTATATAAGAGTTCAAAAAATTATTAGTATGATAAATAATAAGTTATTTAAATAATTTATATTTCATTTTTAGGAACTCTTTAATTTGGGTACAATGTCTAATTGATTTTGGACTTTAGCAGTTAAATTATAAAAAATCAATAATTAATTGTCAAATACAGAGTTTATTGAGAAAATTGATGAAACTGCCATTCGACATAAAAAATAAAAATTTGATTATTTTTTTTCATAAGATTTTTTGAAATAAATTTTCTACTTTTCTTTTAGCTGAGTGAAAAGTAAGGAATTTAATATAAAAATATTATTGGCTCTAAAATACATGAGTCTTAATAAGCCAATATAATTTACTTAAATATTTTATTTATTCATATACGATCAGAGATTATTGAACTTCTATTTTACAATTTTGAATGTTAAATGAATTTAAAATGAGAAAATGTTAAGGATTAAAGTTTCTAATTTATCAAAGAAAGATTGAGTCTAGCATTATTAAATTCTATATTATATTTATTACTTAGAATAATAATGAGCAAATTTTACTTTTCTAAATACAAAAAAAATTAAGTAAAGATTTAGGTTCAGATATTTTTCATATTATAGTTTCAAAATATAAGTATACAAATCTTAGTGTTAGGTTATGTATTTGTTATTAAAAAAGTCTAAATTGAATTATTAATTTTTTTCTATTACATATTTTTTGACTATTTTAATTTATTAGTTTTATACATTGAGAATCTTTAGGATNATTTCAATAAAATACCATTCTTAACTATATTAATTCTAATGAATCAAATTCCACTTAATTTCATTTCAATTTTTATCAAAAAATGTAAACACTATTTAAATTTATTGAATATC